TTCCTTTATTGTGTACTTTCCCCTTAGTTCATGAACAGTAAATTATCTGAGCCAGAAATTGACTTGGAATTAGGGCACTCGATAGAGGAAAATATGAAGTTTAGATATTAGAACATATATTTAGCCCATTGGATTTGGTATGATCAATCTAGGAATCCACTGCTCCTTGGCTGGGAATGTGTCACACTTCTGTCTTCTGCAGTGCTAATTGTTGGGGGAGATTTGGAAATGATATGGTGTTCTTTCTTATCTGTATGCAGTATTCCTTTACCTAAATGGGTAGTGGAAGAGATTGATAAAGATCCAGACCTTGCGTACACTGATCAATGGGGGAGAAGGAATTATGAATACATATCATTGGGATGCGACAACCTCCCTGTTCTTAAAGGCCGAACGCCCGTCCAATGCTATGCAGATTTCATGCGTGCTTTCAAGGAGAATTTCAAGCACCTTCTTGGTGACACCATTGTGGTAAAATCCTCGTTCATTTCCATCTGCTTTATCTGGAACTTGTTTATATGAAATGGCTTTCTTGATTGATGTGAACAGTAGCTGAATTGTCTGGATTTTGTTGTTTTGGTTTAGGAAATTCAAGTGGGAATGGGCCCTGCTGGTGAGCTCCGTTATCCATCCTACCCTGAGCAAAATGGAACATGGAAATTTCCAGGAATTGGTGCCTTCCAATGCTTTGATAAGGTAGCTTTAACTTCCTGCCTCTTCATCTTCTGCAGAAGATAGTTATTGTTTCGCTTGTTATTAGGAATTGAACATGTTAAATATGGTTTGTTTTCCAAGCAATACTGATGTTATTAGTTCTTGAGTTTGGTGTTTGAGTTTGGAATATATAGTTATTGACTACAAATCTTGTCCATTTTAAGCGTAAGCTTTCTTGGCTTTGCTTTTAGTCTTCCCAAAAGGGAAGCATTCCCTAAATTAGTCAATGTGGGACTCCCTCCCAATAATCCTCAGCAATCCTCCCCTCGAACAAAGTACAACATAGAGCCTCCCTTAGGCATATGGAGCCCTTGAATAGTCTCCCTAGGCTCTACTCCTCTGGTATCATGTTAAGAACCATGACTCTCCACAATGGTATGATATTATCTACTTTGAGTATAAGTTCTCGTAGCTTTGATTTGGGCTTCCCAAAAGGCTTTACTTATAAATCCATGATCATTCCCTAAATTAGTCAATAGGCCTTACTTATAAATCCATGATCATTTCCTAAATTAGTCAATGTGAAACTACCTCCCAACTATCCTCAAAATTGTTTGATCAGTTTTAGTGTAACATTTGTGTTGGTATGTGCAGTACATGCTTAGTAGTCTAAAAGCTGCTGCTGAAGCTTTTGGTAAACCTGAATGGGGAGTTACAGGCCCAACTGATGCCGGAAGCTACAACAACTGGCCAGAAGACACCCCATTTTTCCGTAAAGACGGTGGTGGCTGGAACTCGACTTACGGCGAGTTCTTCCTCTCCTGGTACTCCCAAATGCTGTTAGCTCATGGCGAGAGAATCCTCACGGCGGCCACTTCAACCTTTGAGAACACTGGCGTCAAGATATCAGTGAAGATTGCCGGAATCCATTGGCATTACGGGCACCGTTCACACGCCCCTGAGCTCACAGCAGGCTACTACAATACCCGATTCCGTGATGGATATCTCCCAATTGCTCAAATGCTTGCCCGCCATGGCGCCATCTTCAACTTCACCTGCATTGAGATGCGCGACCACGAGCAGCCACAGGACGCCCTCTGTGCCCCTGAGAAGCTGGTCCGGCAGGTAGCTCTAGCCACCCACAAAGCCCAAGTCCCTCTTGCAGGGGAAAATGCTCTGCCACGCTATGATGAGTCCGCCCATGGGCAGATCTTGCAAGCTTCCTCCTTCATCGGCGAGGGTGATTCAGAGGAGGCTGAGATGTGTGCGTTCACATATCTGAGAATGAATCCACACCTGTTTGAGGCAGAGAATTGGAGAAGATTTGTGGCGTTTGTGAAGAAGATGAAGGAAGGGAAGAACCCAGACAAGTGTTGGGAGCAGCTGGAGAGGGAAGCTGAGCATTTTGTTCATGTTACTCAACCTCTAGTTCAAGAGGCTGCTGTTGCCCTCATGCACTAGAACAAAAAGGAAGGTTCGTTATTATAGTGGTTTTGTGAACTCCATAGTTGATGAACAGGTTCAACAATGGCGGCTTGGTCTGGTCTGGTCTCAGCTCTGCGTTTTCTGTAGCTCTCTGGTTTTTAGTATGATGTAGCTATGGAAAAAAGAGGAACTCCTTGTAATTTCTGTCCTCAGATTTCTATATTAAAACCATATCTGTAATCTTAACTTTTAGCTAATTTCTACTTTATTGACGTCTTCCACTTTTAATATTTTATAGATAAATAAAATTTATCATGGACTAAATATTTTTTTTTTTTATCAAATTTTGTTACCGTTAATTTAAACATGGCTCACACATTAATGTCATTGAGTCACAAGTTGCTCTCCATTTAAACGACAATAATAAAAAATATTATGGTCGTGAGATTGTTTGAAATGGGGAGCACATGAGGTGCAACGGGTGAGGTCCAAATCCACAACGCTTTATCACGAGGCTCTCATTTTCTCTTTGGTTGCAACTTACAATTTTCTTTCATATGTGTCTTGTGATGGTCTTCACTTTTACCATCCTTTGAAGTTTTCAAAGGAAAAAATGCAACTTTTTCGAGTTAAATTATGATTTTAGTTTTTTTTTTTTTTTAAATTTAATGTTCTAATGCTACATCAATGTGAATGAACATTTGACGGGGTAATATCATACTATATAGATATTCATGAGATTCACGACGTTTGTGTTTGTATACATATATGAAATCTTGGTGTTCAAAGTTGAAGTCTTAGTGAATCGAGCTAAGGTGGGAGCACTTACCAAGTGATTTCACTCTACTACTATCACTAAACTACGTGGTTCTTAGGTTTGATCGGATATTATTGATGGTTTAGAAGAATAAATATTTTACGAAAATAATAACCACAACAATTCCAGACAAGACAAACCCTAATTCGTGATGATTTGAAGAATGTGCAGGAAGAAGAAGAAATAACCCTTTGTTGGAGAAGAAGATATCCATTGATATCTCTCTTGTTTTGGCACACCCTCTTAGGAGCTTTGGATTAAGAACAAATAAAAGGGGTTGTAATTGTGAGAGCATAGATCCAATACAAAGAATGAGAAGAAGCTAAGGATGATACGTGTAAATCTTGATATCTACAATACAATTTGGCAAAGGAATAATGGTTTCTCTCTTCCATTTCTCAAATCTCAAGAACCCTAAATCCTACCTAACTTCACATTCCATTTCATCCCACACCAATACCAATACTTTCATTCATTAATACTCATTTCTTTTGTGGAATCCATGTTTCCATCTCGTATATCTATGAAACATAGCTGGAGGGTAGTGACAATGAATAGTAACAATAAAAGAGTAATTCATGTCATTTTTGATCTATCGGTAAGAATCTTCTACTAACTACAACTACGAGAGAGAAAAATACAGATAGTGAAAATTTTGGGTTTTAAGCTGTAAAAAATTTAGTAGTGGCCGAACTATTAGGGAACATGTATAACACTTCCCAGCTTCGTACACCCTATTTAATGTGATAACAAGATATGGTACTCGACCAAACTTAAACTTCAGATACTAAACACTAAGACTCTTTGAAATGAAACGAGTTGAAACTTGATATCAATAATGGTGTTCGATATTTTATCGGTTACGATTCTGAAAACCCTAATAATGAGTTGCATTTCATACCCATTTTATCTTACTAGAATCTACCTCAAACTTTATGTAAATTTTGGGAGGATGAAATGATGATGATTCTTTACTTGTTCTTCAAATCCCTAAAGCAAGCAAGCTACGGGTTATGAAAACTAAAGAAATTGAGAGGGTTAGAGCTGGACCCAAATCACTGACTAAAATATGTTTGCATGGAAAAGATACACAAATTGGTGAGAATAATGTGTACTCAATTCCCAAGTTTCCAATAATATTTTGCACGTGCATTTCCTCTTTTTTTTCAACTTTACTGATATAATATATTGCATATTTATTCTCATGTCTTGTTCTTCCATTTCTTGAAGTCTATAAGAAAGAAAAAAAAAAACGAACACCCTCGAAAACTCTCAAAATTACAATATTACCCTTATCCTTTTCGAAAATATAAGAGTGAAAATCATTGGGTACGTTGCATGAAAATTGAGACATGAAATAGTGCAACAATGACCTGTTTCATGTCACCACCAAATCGTACCCAAGTCCTAATTTCAACATTTTGACAGATACCCAAGTCTTAATTTCAACATTCTAATAGATTTTTAATTGAATTTGAAACGCTTACGATAAATCAAGAGTAATATTGCAATGTTTACGATAGATAATAGTAAAATTTAGTATTTTTTTTGCGTGTGTGGGTATTTTAGCCCACTTATTTAATTTTGTTCTTACACTAATTAACCTTATTCAAGCCAAAAATTGTAGAGATATTGTTGTGAATCAAAACTCAAGCAATTCCAATTCAACAAAGAACAAAGTTTTTGCATGTTGGCTTCAAATTCCAATAGAATTTCAATGAGCAACCCAAGGTGGAGAAAATTGAATCTCTAAAAAAAAAAAAAAGCCTCGATTTTGAGTAATCTTGAAATAATGATATGAAAATTTTACGCATTAATTCATAATCTCAAGTTGGTTCCTTGAGAGACTCTCCACAATATTTGGTCACTAAGTAGCCACCAAACCACACTTTATCCTTATCTTTTTATTCTCCTCCTAATATCTCATTACCTTCCAATTTTTTAACCAAAATCTCATTTGATAATCACTAAACATATGGGTTTGAATCAGACAAAATAAATGGTTTGGAGCTCAGAAGAAAGAGACCACAAAGTTTATAATTTTTTTTCCCCCAAATTTACATCACATGCTATTCTCTCTCATTTGGCCATAGACTCGTCTATTTAAGCCCTTCCAACGCCACCTTCCCCTTCAACTCTCTCCAACTTCAAAGAAGTGCATTACAGTCTCTTCAATTTGTTCTGTTTTCTCTTCACCTTTCCCTCCTAAGTCTTGTCTTAATAACAGAGAAATATAGATATGATGCATAGTACCTGTATCAGTATTCCTCCATTGCCTCAGACCATTGGTGGTAATGGCTTCTTTGATCACCGGTGCGTATGGGTCAATGGACCGGTGATCATCGGAGCAGGGCCTTCAGGATTGTCTGTAGCAGCTGCTCTAAAACAACAAGGTGTCCCCTTCGTTGTTGTCGACCGTGCCGACTGCATTGCCTCTCTTTGGCAGCACCGGACGTATGATCGTCTTAAACTTCACCTTCCAAAGAAATTCTGTCAGCTTCCTAACTTCCCTTTCCCTGAGGACTTTCCTGCATACCCTTCCAAGTTTCAGTTCATTTCGTACTTGGAATCCTATGCCAACCATTTTGATATAACCCCACGTTTCAATGAGACTGTGCAGTCAGCCAAGTATGATGAAACTTTTGGCCTCTGGCGAGTCAATACCCTTTCATTGAGTCCAAAGCCAACCCAAGTTGAGTACATTTGTCGGTGGCTTGTCGTCGCCACCGGCGAGAATGCCGAGAAGGTCATGCCGGAGTTTGAAGGGATGGAGGAGTTTGGTGGCCATGTTATGCATGCTTGTGAGTACAAATCCGGTGAGGCTTACCGTGGGAAACGGGTGCTTGTCGTCGGGTGTGGGAACTCTGGCATGGAAATCTCACTTGATCTTTGTAATCATGATGCCAAGCCATCGATGGTGGTTCGAAGCTCGGTGAGTCAACTTAAGTTACATCAAATAACTCAAACGAACTCCCCTCAAATGTAGACTAAGTGAAGTCTCAACTCTAAAAGCATTGGAACTTCTAAAAGTTTAAGCTTTTTATTTCAGTTCTATCAAAAGATGAAGCTTTCTGTGTCAAATTCACAGAATCATCCGCAACATTGAGCAATAACTTAGCAGTTACGCAATTTTTGTTGATCTGCAGGTTCATGTATTGCCAAGAGAAGTACTTGGAAAATCAACTTTTGAAGTAGCAAGTTCACTGATGAAATGGCTGCCACTTCATATAGTGGACAAGATGCTGTTGGCCATTGCCAGACTTGTTCTTGGGAACATTGAGAAGTATGGACTTAAAAGGCCATCAATGGGGCCTTTCCAGCTGAAGAATGCCACTGGCAAGACGCCAGTGTTGGATATTGGAGCACTGCAGAAGATAAAGGCCGGCGGGATCAAAGTGGTGGCCGGAATCAAAAAATTCCACCGAGGTGCGGTGGAGCTGGTCAATGGAGAAGTTGTGGAGATTGATTCTGTAATTCTAGCCACTGGCTATCGCAGCAATGTTCCATCTTGGCTCAAGGTAAGCAAGTTTTTTAACAAACTTCTGTAAGTTTTAAATTTGGAATTCTTTTTCCCTATTATGAATTGGGCTCTTGTTTTAAAGTTCCTTCAGTCCTTTCAAAATTGTATCCAACTTCGAGGGCTCCTCTGTCCTAAATGCTTTCTAAAACTATCAGTGTTTGATCGTACAGGAAAATGAGTTCTTTTCCAGTGATGGGATTCCAAAAAGTCCATTACCAAATGGGTGGAAGGGCAAGGCTGGACTTTATGCTGTTGGGTTCACAAGAAGAGGCTTATCAGGAGCTTCATTGGACGCCATTAATGTAGCTCAGGACATAGCCAAGAGCTGGAAAGAAGAAACAAAACAGACGAGCAAATCAGTGGCAGCTCGCCATAGAAGATACATCTCACATTTCTAACACAGAAGGACTGCCATTAGCTTGTGAAGAACAGTAGTCAACAAAACACAAATAAACAAGAATCCAAAAGGAACACATTAGAGTCCTCTCCCCCTCTAGGAAAATTCTAATACCCAACACAGCAAATAAAGGAAGATGATGCTCATTGTTTTTCTCTTTCTTTCCTATTGACTCTCTTTGTGGATCTACCTTGTAATTGTAATTGAAATCGTTCTTTCCTATCTGTTGTAAATCCAACATAAGGTGGACTACCTAGAAAGTGGTAAGAAATTTCAATTAATGGGCTCCACAGTGGATCCACAATGAGTCCAGGAACAAAAATGTGGCTCCTCAGGTCCATGATTCCCCAACATAACAAAAATCTCCACCAGGGGATGTCTTGGTCTCACAATGAAGAAAAAGGGTTTCAGGGTTTTCTGTCTACATGTTGCTTTGCACATGGTTTGAACAGAGAAGTCTAAACCTTATCTTAGTTACATGAGAAAACAAATCTCTCTGACCACTACAACTTTTTAACTGTAATAAAGTTCTCAACATTCAGACCAATCAGTACCTGCTAAGTGCTTATGCTCTTTCTCTTTACACTGCTTGAAATCAAGAATCCATATGCATTCTTTCCTCATTATACACCTAACTGAAATGTATAGCAAGCTAAACATCCAGAAGTCAGAGTCAATGTTCGGCTGTGATCTTGTAAGACAACAGCATAATGAAATGAGCTATAACAAAACAGGCTGCACATAAGGTTGACATTGTAAACTGGATGGTTTGTGTTCCAGAACAGAGTTTAAGACTAAGGATGTAACCGCCCAAGCCCAAGCCTAAACCCAAGCTCAAGCCCACTGCTAGTAGATATTGTTTATTTTGGCCCGTTACGTATCGCCATCAGTCTCACTGTTTTAAAACGCATCTACTAGGGAGAGGTATCCACACCCTTATAAAGAATGTTTCGTTCCCCTCTCCAACTAATGTGGGAACGAAGCATTCCTTATAAGAAACCTCTCTTTAGAAGACGCGTTTTAAAAACTTTGAAGGGAAACCCAAAAGGGGAAGTTCAAAGAGGACAATATTTGTTAGCGGTGGGCTTGAGCTGTTACAAAGAACAAGGACAAGACAATTCACCTGTGAGGAGGGTAATGGAGAAGACAACCCATATGACTCCCCATGCTGTTGGTGCAACCGAACATCGTGCTATAACTCCGTGGCCCATTTAAATGTTCTTCTTCAGCATCACAAACTCAAAACTTTGCAGAATGAATTTGTAATTCGACCTGATCATGGTCCTTCATGACATGTTACCTGCATCAGTTTGGAACATAGGTCAGTCAAGTAGACATTAATGTTCTAGTTTATAGCAACACATGAAGCCTACAGCATGAAAATCCAAACCTGCAGTCTTTGTCAAAATCCCACTAGAGTTTCCAATGTTCTCACACCAACCATGCGACCTCTGACAGAGACATCAAAGGGAAGAAAACACATGGGGTAGTAAATACCCATAACAGTTTCCTAGTTCTTCATCAAAAGCCATCTATTCATGTTATAAATGATAAATAAACACAGTTGAGATTATGATGGTAAGTGAAAAATTTACAACTACCAGTACAAAATTCAGGAGTCCAAGGAAATACTCGCACGGTTTAGAAACCATGGTATTTTCTTCATATACCTTAAGGTTCCATTAATTTTATTAAGTTTCTCATTTATTGTGAATTGAACCCTTTTAAATGAAATGGATAGAGTGCTAATAATGAATTATTGGAGAATATTTTCCTCCCATGTTTTCTCCCTTAAACCCTTTTAAATTTTCATCCCAACTCCTAACCTTTTAGTTTATTTCTCATTTAGTATAATGACAATCATCTTCCAAAAAAGTTGCATTACGCTATCAAAATGAAATTCTTTAAAAAGAAAGTCCTTCATCTTCCAAAACATTGCATTGAAATTGGTGCAAACGCTCATTACTACATTTAGTTGCCTAATCCTGAAAAAACTACTTCTAACTAAATGAGTTGAGACAAACTTTTAGTCTCTTACAGTCGAATGAGATTCAACAAACAGCCCATAGAAAGAGGTGGATGATCAGGGATTGAAATGAGAGAAAAGTAGTGGAACCAAGATTTCACAGCAAGAATCTTGAAGTTCCACGACAGTTTTCCATGATCCGTTTGTGACTTCTGATTTTGTGCAACCAAAAGCAAGAAAACCAGTAATATAAGTGCAAGTGCCATCTGTCTCTGAACAGTGTGATTACTTTGAGTTGGAAAGTATGCGATCAATTTCACCCTTCTGGTTGTACAAATCCACTAACTTTTTAGCATATGTAGGTTCGTGCTTATCAGCTCTGCAGTCCATAAATCATCATCAAAAAGAGGACAAGGAAACAAAATTAAACGAGTCCTTCACACACGGCTTAATCCGTTTTTTACCTTTGTTTTCCCCATTTTCGGGTGACATATAAATGGTTCCGGATGGTATGGTAATCCAGTGAATAACGAGCAAATTCCAGACCTTTAGGGCCAATCTAAAGAAAAAAACAAGATAATGAAGTTTCTGCATATACTTTATTGTAAGTGCATCATAGATCGATGAATACTTACATTTCTGAAAATTGGTAGTTTATTTTTTCAGAAAAAGGAATGTATATATCAAGGGGAAATTTTACCAAGTTCAGAAAAAACGCAATGATGTTCCCAATAAATTTTGGAGCAGGCTGTGACGGACCTTTCCCTGAGAGTAAGAACGCAAGTATATAAATCAAAGGTCATAGAAGCCTGCCATGACTCGTAGTTAAAGAAGAAATTCTAACTAGCACGCTCATTAGCAATTACAGAGAAAAGCAGGTACTATATGGAGCGTTCAGAACAAAGCTAGGAAATTCTGCTTTTCCATGATTTTAAAGAAATGACAAGGAACATAATCTGACTATCTCCGAAATGAAAATAATTAGGGACTGGGAAGTTCTTGAGCCCATTACAGGAGGATAAATTATTAATATAATAGCAAAACGGATTGCTCCAAATAGATTAGACAGTACACTACAACACAATAACATTTGAATGAAAATTGATTTTAAAGTAAGTCTGAATAATAAACAAATTAGAGTACAAAATTAGAACTTAAGTTTGAGAGATTGTAAGGATGTAGCCATACATACCCAGCTTAGCATCGTCATCTGCCTTCACAGTCTCCATAACTAAAGGTCTTCGATTACCCTGAGCCCAGAATAATTTTCTTGTTTATATATGCAATGCTTACTTATTAAAGAAGATATAGGAAGGCAAGAAATTTACCTCGCTAATTGTTGGTGTAATTTCCAAGTACTGTTCCACTAATCCCAGCATCTCTCTACCACGCTCATTTCTACGATGTTAAGGATACAGCAATAATGAAATGTTAGAATGCCTACTGAATACTAATACTAAATAGTCTCTAGTAACATGGCAAGGCATGGAAGGTACAGAGAACCTAAATGATAATATTACCTAACAGTAATATACTGTGGATGTTGAGGTACAGAGAACCTAAATGATAATATTACCTAACAGTAATATACTGTGGATGTTGGGTCATGCTGACTCCAGAATATTTTGGCACACCCATGTATCCAACAACCAGATCCTGAAAATTTTAGACCATTAATCAAAGATGAAGTCAAACAGAATTTTGTTTGTATCTGAGCAGCATTATAGTAACACGTGTAAAGAATAAGTTAACCTTTAATAGTGTGTCTGAGATCAAGCTCACTTAAGGAAAGACTAACCATCAATTAATTTGAAAAAAAAAATTAACATTTCAAATTTAATGTATCCATGAGACATTAACTTTTAGATCTAAACTAGATTAAAATTTAAATCTTTCAAGTCAGGGAACTTATTCATGGCAAACCTGACGGACGAAGATGGGTGTGGCAAATGGAAATGGATGATTTAGTAACTCTTTCAAGGCCTTGAGAGTGGAACCATGCCAGAATTGTTTTGACGGAAAAAAGAAAAACACGCGTACACCATAAAATAGTGTTTGTATCTGTGGCCAAGAGTGTACCCACCATTTGCCTTCAGCTATCGACTAGGTTTTGAATTGTTAGGCATACATTCTTGACTGGCCTAAGTTTATCGCTGGCAATAATTTTGGGAGACCAATTTCAATTTTGTTTTTTTTATTTTTATGATGAAAATGATATTATATTTCCTCTATATACATGAATCAATTACAAGGTATTCTTATGTCAGAGAAAGTTACTAACAACAAAATGTATGAAAATGCCGCACCATGTTCAAATAAAGACCATGAAGTACAATGATATGTTGGTATTATAAGTACAAATATATGCACCCCTTGCTAACTAAAGGAGAACGAAATTTTTTTATATAAGTAGAAAATTACATGGCAATCATATTAAGTTGGATGAGTAGAAATACTGACCGCTAGAGCATTTGTATAATCAAAACAACTGCAATGCAAACCAAAACTCAGTTAGATAATAACTTCAGAAGAGTGAAGAAAAGACAACACTAGGAAAGGTAACTAACCATAAGTCAAACGTGATGCAAATTTAAAACGTTGTATTTTAGAGAAGTAGATTATTCTGTACATTAAAGAATAGTTTTTATGTTCCATATTTAATTCAAAAGTAGTCATCCATATCTACAAAAGTGAAGAAAATATGTAGAAACTGTGTTCATCAGGACAAAATTCAAAATTAGGAAACTTACTTTTGAGTACCCCAAAAAAGATATAAATAAATAAATCGTCCTAGTGTTGTTTTCCCTTCACAAAATTCTTTATTTTTTCTTAAAACAAGGATCATACATAATGTCAATTTTGTGGAGTATATTTATCGCTGTCTCTTATAATAAAATAAAATAAAAAACAATTTTGTGGGCATATTGGGTTTTTTTTTTTTTTTTTTTTTTTTTTTTTTTT